GGAATCGGAATTAAACGATTCCGTCGAGCTTCCTTTCCCTCCTGCCTCCCTCCCCCCCTCTTTCGAATCGAAAATATAGATATGATTATCTCGGAGCGATATATTCGAGTACGAGTGAAACAGGTTGATTTGATTATCGAAGGAAGAAAGGAAGAAGAAAGAAAGAAGGAGAAAGGAGGGGGGCGGGGGGTCTATTTTGAAAACGGATCATAATTGATTCGGAAAATTCGAACGGTGTTTGGACGGGCGTGATCGTCGTCGGTGACACGACGCCGCGTCACGTGAGCCTGGAAATATTATAGTAACAGTGTTGTCGTGTTCAGAAAAATTGGATCGCGAGCATAGAAGGGGATTTATATGGGATGGAGAATTTGGCCGTGGTGAAAATTTTAAAAAAAGAATCGGTCCGCGTGTCGTGAAAATTGCGAACCGACGAATCCGATCCGTGTTCGAACGGGTGACCGAGTTATTTTTACCAACAAACACCACGCGATCCTTCGTGCCGCGAGAAAAAAGTGGTGAAGAAAGAGCGGTGGTCTTTCGGAAATTCACACAGTTGGTATATCAAACGGTGCAAAAAGCTTCTCACGTGCTTGGATCGACGACGAGCGAGGTACTCGCGAAATCGAATGGATCGAATCGCGTGGAAATGGCCACTTTTCGTGAAGGAGCATTAGACAGAAATGGAGACAAATCTTTTTCTTCTTTTTCTTCTTCAAAGAATCCGTTTACCACGTTTGTTCCGATTGTTCATTGATCGCGATTTAAAAGATGGAAGAGCGAAGGTAACGAATCGATGCTGTTTGCACGTTTTTTTAAGATGGGAGAACAAAAGCGGTTATATACGATTCCGTCCTCGCTCGTGCCTTCCGGCCCGTTTAAACACCCGTGTTGCACGTCATACGTCGTCGAGAAAAACGTCGTGTCGCCTGCTCAGAATTTACCCTTGTCCCTGGATAAACTGCGCTGGAAGGGCAATAATAATATCTTTAAACGCGGCACAAAAATACACGCAACGTTAAAAAGTTGCGACAACGACGATAACGATCACGATGCGATTTAATTAAAAATGAAATCCTTCGATCGAGTCGGACTAATTCGCCGGATATTCCGTCTATCCAGTTTCTGCGGTGGAATTTCGTTGCAATCTTCTTAAACGATGCGAAGATTAGCAACGAAATTATTATTAGATTCGAAGCGAGGGGAAGAGACACGGGGCAGCGAGAGAAATAATAGTATTCTTGCGAGAAGCGAAACAGATTTTTCGCGTAAAAAATGTTGGAATCTTGGAAGTGAGGTTAGGTAGGTTAAAGTATAAAGATAAGAGGATTATTATATCCATTGTTACCTTACCAATATTTTATTGGAATTTAGAATAATTTGATAACGTTATTTTATCTCGAAGATATATATATATATATATATATATGTATCTACAGTTCTACGATCGATATTAGATTTTCATTCTTGCGAAACAAATTCACAGAGTTTCGTTTCGCCTGCCTCGTTTCCGCAAACTTTACCAATCTTTCACGGTCCCTTTACGCGAGAGCAGTTTTTCACTCCGTCTTTTGAACGCGCGCACATAAACAGCTGCGTCAGGATATTAATCAATCGACTCGAACGACAAATTTCACCAGTTTGTTTTAACTTACCGTGCAATAATTCGTACACATCAGCGGCTCCTTCGTGATCGCTAGAATCACGTATTTCGCGAACGATTTATTTTCTTTTCTCGCCTTTTTCTCTACTTTGCTCGTGGCCATTCGCTAGGCAGTAATTTTCAGTTTTCTACTCACCAAGAATAATAAAAGCTTGCATTAATCGTACATGTGAGGTTATTCCAACATTTTAGCCATATTTTCGAATTTCTTTGACGTTTGTACTCGACGATGCAAAACATAAACAATATTTGTTCTCAAAAATATTTCAAACAGAATAAATCTCTCGAATAATTAAAGACACAGATCGAAAGCCACCGAGTCGAATCATAGAGATTCCATAATGGAAAGTCTATCCATTCCAATCCGAACTAATAATATCGTGTTTACACATTTCAACGTATCCAGTGCATATTCGTCTTTGAGACAGATATATAGTCCTGATTAATGAGTCTCTCTGTTCCCAAAGAGAATTATCGATGATCTTCATCGATGAGCATTAATATCGATCGAGCAATTTCTACCTCGAATCGGTACCATGTTTCGAGTATCGACTTTCCTTCTGTCGATCCTCGGGTTCGATCGATATGCCACAAGATGGCGGATCGATCGCTAATAAACGACAGTGACTCCTCCAAACTGTCGTCCTCCTCTCTATTCACTACAGTTCGTCCGATACCGTGGCGGAAAGGATCTTAAGGGAGTGAAGCGTGACTCGTTAATGTCCTTATTCAAGTTGTGCACCGTGATTACGTCGGTCCGTCGATATTCTTGCATGACCTAATTTCCGTCTCGCTACCAACACCCCCTACTCATCTCTTCTTGATCTTCTGTCATCCCTCCTCGCGAGTTATCTAAACAACAACGAGTTATAATGTAAATAATTATCTCCGCTGTATATGTTCTTTTGTTGATTTTCCAGCGTTGCTTTGGCTTTTATTGATGACATATATACATATATACATATATATATATATATATATACATTCTTATGTATTCTTATATATGCATATATACATATACATATATATGCATGTAAGTACGGCGAGCCAGCTTTAGGCATTCTCATCCTTTCGTTTTACCTCCACTCTTCGAATTACCCCGTGGAACTATCCCTCTTTTCCTTCCCTCCCTTTTATGAAGATTTGCCCCGAAGCTTTCAATATACCTGCTAGAAACTATTGTTAATACAACACCGAAAGGAAAGATTATTGTCATGACAGACACCGTTCCATTTCCTTCCATCAATCTTGTTTCTACTGGGTACCGATGCCCGGCACGAGACACCGATTCATATTTTTGCAACGGTTGCGCGACAACATAATGTGAAATTTAGAACGAGCGCGAACGTGGTAATCAATGAGGTAAGCTGGGATACGCGTATCTCATTGGTTATTCCGCGACAAGACGCGCATGACAGTTTCCTCCTATATCTATCTCTGTCATGCACGCGATCGCTTCTATCTCTTTCTTCGAACCTTATACTCCTTCCTCTTTCATTCTAGAGCATCCTTCTTCCTTTCCTTCCGTCCTGCTTGCTTTCTTTTTTCACCCAATTTTCTCTCTATTCCTCACCGTTGGTCCTTCCTAACAAAAGTCCTAAAAGCATTATTACACTACAATGAAAAGGCATAATGTTGCAATGTTGCGCTCCGTTATTTCTCCATTAATCCTATTCTTTTGGTGGTTTGAACATTTTTTTCGTTCCATTTCTATTGTTAATCAATTAGAATTCAACAACAACAAAAGTGTGAAAAAGAATGCATCGAGAAAAATTGTGAGATTCTTCGTGTAATAATGATATTACATTTTTTTTCTTTCTTTTTGTTTTCTCTTTTTTTTTTTTATTTTCCAAATCCTTATTCCTTATAATAATAACGAAAAGAAAATTTTAAAAGAAACGAACTTTTAATTAATAATTTGAATAAATTAAATAGAGCACTCTGATTTTTATTAGGTTTCTATCCAATGAAACGATCCATACCTTTATCGTAGGATTTTTTTAATTTCGAATAAAAGCGATACGTTTGTTAACCTCTTGAAAAAGGAGATATTAATTAACGAAATGGCAATTCACTTTTAAGAACGAGCTAATATATTTTAACTACCGTAATATAAAATAATTGAAGCGATGATAAATTATAAATATTAATAGAATTAATAAAATAATCAATTGTATATTAATCGATTAAAGATTTATTTTAAAAAAATAATTAATTTTAACATCTTTTTCTAATTTATAAAAATTTATTGTGATAATTATCGTATGTATCGATATAGATAAAAAAAGAAAGATTAGTTTTTATATTATTTATTCAAATGATTCAAATGATTACTCATATGTGTATTTTTTTGATAAGATATCAATTTCGAAATCAGATCCACTCAGTGCAATCCTTGCATAAGTACTGATGCACTTGTATGTGCACTTTCATAATGTTTGATTTCGCCGCCGAACGGCGCTACTGATATGCTCAACGGGCGCTTTAAATTTCACAACGCTCTTTGTAAACACGCGTCCTTTTCCGTTGACGGCTTGCATGTCTTTAAACTATTTTTGATTGTTTGCTTTGCGACGTGTTATTTGTTTTATTTATTCTCAAGTTGACTCGAATCTTTCACGAAACAAATTATTCTTGTAGAGTGTTTTACAAAGCTGATATTTCATTTGGACGAAATGGAGCGTTAACTTGATAGTAAGCTGGTAATGGGCCTAATGTTGAGTTCGGTTCATGCATCGACTAATGCATAATCGTGTTAGATTATTCTGTGACAATAATAACCAGTTGTTCGTATGCAATACAATAAAATTACGTTCGAATGTGATGTCAGTGTAACTATAATTGTGCGCGTACAAAAATGTGATTATCTTCTTGTATTTAATTGTCAATATTTAAATGTTTTGGAGTACATGCTTTCTAAAATTTATTTATTGGGCATGAATGGACAGGTGCAACCTTCCAGGGAGAGGTTAGGTAAGTTCGATTTGAATATCTAAATCAATCAAATACAAAAAATTCCTAGTAATCGTTTCTTTTCTTTACCGTTTACGGTTGCGAGAAACTGATGATTCGTTTCTATTAGTCATACTTAACAGTTTTTTATATTTTCTTTATTCGCGATAATAAATAATAAATACTTCTTCATAATCTGTTAGAAAAAAAAAATGCTTTTAAAAATTTAGATAAAACAATAATATATCAAAGATCACTTTATTCTTAGGAGGTTTTAGTAACAATACAATAGGTCTTTTTTCTGGAATGATTACTACAGATCGTGTTCCAAACATACAATTAACTGGTACAAACAATGGATTACCTATGGATGATTCCAATGTTGCCACAGAAGTTGATAGCAAAGTCAAAACGAAATTATTATCTATGTGGAATAATGTTAAATATGGTTAGTGTAAATCCATCTTATATGATTAATAAATGTATATATTTACATTGAAGAAAATAATTTAGATTTAATTTCATTAAAGGTTGGACTATTAAGGTAGTAAAACCAAATTTCTCAAAAGAATCTCCTGTATGCTTGCTTGGTAAAATTTATCGTAAAAAACCAGAAGAATTTTTAGAAAAAGCTTCTGAAGCAGATAAAACTTTAGACACTGGAAGTGAGATATCTCTAGCAATGGATGCTATTAGTTTTGAAGATGGTATAGAAGAATTTAAAAAAGATTTTACATCGCGTCTTTGGTTAACATATAGAAGAGAATTTCCTATATTAAATGGTTCTACATTCACTACTGATTGTGGTTGGGGATGTATGTTACGTAGTGGCCAAATGATGTTGGCACAGGCATTAGTCTGTCATTTTCTTGGAAGAGGCACTTATTTTTTTTTATAATTTATTACCCATAAATTGCAATATAATTTTTGTATATATATGTAATGTATATTAAATATTAATTATATATATTTTACATATATTTTATATTTTTTTACATATTATTTACAAATAATATATTTTCTCTACAGAATGGCGGTGGCAACCAGATCAACCAATAAAAACAGAACAACAAAAATTAGATGAATATAACCACAGATTAATAATTAAATCATTTGGAGATTTACCAGAGCGTACATCTCCATTTTCTATACATACACTTGTATCTTTGGGTGCATTGTGGGGAAAACGTGCAGGAGATTGGTATGGGCCATCCTCTGTTGCTCATCTTTTAAGCCAAGCAGTAGAGAATGCAGCAGAACGACATCCAGCATTTAATAACTTGGCTGTTTATGTTGCTCAAGATTGTGCAGGTGATATAATAGCTAAAAATGTTTATATTTCAAATAAAAGTTATTCAATCGGAAATTTTTCGTATATTTTTCATATTAATTTAATTTTTAATATTTTGTGTTTTACAGTTTATCTGCAAGATATAGAAAATGTATGTCAAACACCTGATGGCAAATGGAAATCTTTAATACTTTTTGTACCTTTAAGACTTGGTGCTGACAAATTAAATCCTGTTTATACATCTTGCTTAACACATTTACTTACATTAGACACCTGTATTGGAGTTATCGGTGGTCGACCTCGGCATTCGCTTTATTTTATTGGTTTCCAGGAAGATAAATTAATTAATCTAGACCCACATTATTGTCAAGAAACTGTTGATGTATTAAAAGATAATTTCTCTTTAACAAGTTTTCATTGTACTTCACCAAGAAAAATGTTAATTTCAAAAATGGATCCTAGTTGTTGTGTGGGATTTTATTTTCATAATAAAATACAATTTACAAATTTTATGGAAATTGCTCCTTCGGTATATATAACCATTTTTATAAACTTCATTGAATTATATTAAAAATAATTTGGAAATCCAATTATATATATTTTTAATATTACAGTATTTGGTACCAGAAGATGAAAAAATCGACTATCCAATGTTTTTGTTTTGTGAAGGGAGTGGGAAAGATCTCCATCAAAAAATCGAAATTGCAGAAAATATAATTCCTTCTACTACCTCTTTTACAGGTAATGGAACGTACGATGACGATCTTGACGAATGCGAAGAATTTGAATTAGTACAATGAGATATTTATCATTGAAAAAAAAAAAAGAAAAAGATATATCACGTACTTAATACATTCATGGATAGTTTTTGGAGAAGAACATTAATGATCATCATTAATCAGAATTCTCCGTTCATTCGTCCATATATGTACAAGGGTAAAAAACCAATTGATGACTTTAATAGATAGTAATGTTGTATCGTATTAGACAGTTGAATATTAATTTCTTAATATGAATTTTTGCCGCGATATGATCTATAGATCTCAACATGTTCGTTGAACGACTGATATGAATTAATATATCGAATATTTTCTATTCGTGATAATGCAAATTTAAATTTGAAATAAGCATTATCGTCGATACATTGTTCTGTGATCATAATTTAATGCGGCTTTTGTATTCAAGTGTGTTATTGCACAATTTTTTTTTATCTTGTTTATTGATCTCAAAAGTTATGCTTTTAAATAATCGTTAGAATGTTAATTTAGTATATGACCTAGAATTATCGCAAGAAGATATTTATTATTCCTTTTCATTGATGATCGTGTCTAGAACTTGCGTAGATCGTAAGTTGACGACTTTACTATAAAGAGTAATTTTTATAAAAATTTCTTAATTCCTTACGGAAATGTTCCTGATATAACTTATTTTATAACGCAGCAATATTAGATTTCTTGCAAAATGCAATATGAATAATATTTTGTTTTGTTCTTGAGATAAAAATGTACGTATATGCAAGCATGAGCGCGCATTATACAATTCAACTACCTGTTGTTATGTTAACTATTTGTTGTTTAAGTTTATATTATGTTTAAGTTTATATTATGTTTAAGTTTATGTTTAAGTTTCAAATAATTTAAACTTTTTTTCATATTATATAATTCTAAGTTATTTATTTATTTAATATTTTTATTTTTCGGCTTTGAAAATTATATATCGAACTTATACTAAGTTCCAACTGCGTTTTACATAACGTTTTATGTTATGAAAGAGAAACATTAATGTAATTAACAACTATATATAACATTAATTAAAATATTGTTATTATTAAAAGATTGACTAAATTTTCAAATAAAAAGAAAATGTGAGCATGATATATAAGGTATATTATACTCATATTAAACTCTGTACACAACTAAAAATTGTTAAAATTCTTATATCGGTACAGTTAAAAATAAATATAAAAAAAGGCTATGAAAATTGTGTCCCAAATTTTATTTCCTATTTATAATCACAATTAATACAATTTTAAATCATTTCCAATATATAAATTCAAGAAATATCTTTATCGAATCGGCTTTGATCTCTTTATATTAAACTGTAATATTTTATATACAATATTTTATAATTGATATCTATAAAACATAAGTAAAACATACATATAAATCATTACCACTTATTATTATTTTGTTAATTGTTTTTTGTATGATATTTATAAGTTTATTATTATATAAATTATAATTGACTATAACAATTGACTAAGTGACTATATAAAAAATTGAATTAAATTTATATAAAATAAGTAAAAACTATAGATGAAAATTAACAAATTTTGTACTTTACTGATATAAAATTATTTTTTGATATTAAATTATTTTATATATATATAAACTACAGAAAAATATATAATAAATTTTTTTGCATAATTTGTATAAATTTACTGAATTCATCAATATTTGTGCGTAAATTAATGGAAGCATATGATCACTATAGTATAAATTAATTCAATTTTAAATTAATTCATTATACATTTTTACAAAATATTAATGCATCCTAACAATTTGCTATTGTAACAAAAATTTTGTGACGATTTTCTTAATATGCGGCCATATTTCATCGGTAGTATTACCTCGAAAAGTATTTAACAATCCTAAATTACTATAAAATGTTAAAATTGGTTTAGTCGCATTTGAATATTCTTGTAATCTTCTTTGTACAATTTCGATCTTATCATCGTCCCTTTTACTTAAAGGTTCGCCAGTCACATCATCTTTACCCTATTAAAAATTAAACTAAAATTTATTATTCAAACAAAAGAATTAAGCATTCAGAAATAAAATCATCTGAAAAACTTGTTTGATTACTAAATTGAAAAAAAATTTAATTTTAAAATTTTAACAATTGATATATTGCCAACGATACATTTTAATATCAATTAAAAAGTTTCATTGTCAACTTACCAATATTTTGGGACTATTAAATCCAATATTATATACTCTTCCACTAGGCAAATGAACCCATCTATTTTTCACACGATTTAATATTACTTCGAAGGGAACATCCAGATAAAGAACCAAATTAATTGGATGTATTTTTTGTAGCTTTTCCGCTTGCGTTAACGTTCTTGGAAATCCTGTATCAATGCCAACTATTTATTCGAATTTAGTTGTACACGTGTGGTTATCGCGCACATTCATGATCTAAATAAATGAAACAAAAATTTTAATTTCTATATCTTACTTACCGTCTAATAACCAATTTTGATTCCCGATCGCTTTGATTTCTTCGTTTATCATTGAGATCATTATATCATCAGGAACAAATTTACCGGAAAGTACATAATTCGAGACTGCTTTGCCTAATTCTATATTATTAAAACAGATTATGTTCTAATTATATTTATTTACCTTTATTATAATTAATGGACTTTGTACTGTATTGATATAGGTTATATTTCTCTTATCATAATAAAAAATGGTGTTTTTATATAAAAACATAAATGGTATATAATTGTATTTAATTAATTTTATATAATTAAAAAAAAAATTTTTTAAATTATACATAAAAATAAAGATATTGAATAAATTAGTATATGTAAATATGTGTATTGTATTAATTAAGCCGATAAAAATCTATATTAATGCGACTAGAATGATAAAAAATATTTATATTTATATATTAGATTAATTTCCTGTACTTCAATATCATTAATTTATAACGAGTAAAACACGATAGAAAATTTATGTTATTTAGCAATAAATGTTGCAATCCAATTCCGAGTACGAGTCCAAATATTTAAATGAATGATTATAAATAAGTAGTATGCTTTTCATTCAACCAGTTAATATGAATCAGTTTCAATCATTCAATCAGTCACGTAACTGTTAGAGGATCCAAGTAATATAAATATTACATGTAAAATTAAACAAAGATAATTTTAATTTGATTAAGAAATATTAAAGAAAGAAACGTATTTTATACTTTATTTATAATCAATTTCATGAAATAAATCAACATTTCGATCATTTTCAAGGCAAAGTACATGCATATACTATTAAAAAATATATCAGCAATATATATGTACTTAAAACTAAAAAATCGATTTTGGACAAATCTTCTTTTAACAAACAAATGACATGCAAAAGTTTTCGATCAAATGATATGAAAATGATTGATTTTATTATTTTTCATTATATTTCATAAAATGATTGAATAACATAAAAACATAACAATTTATGGTTTCAAACATACCAGTTTTATTATTCATATGAAGTCTTAACTTATCGCCGCTTGATATATGAGTTAATTTAAATTGTTCAACAATTCTAGCTGACATGGTGCCCTTACCAGAAGCAGGGGCACCTAATATCACGGCCCTGAAAGCCGCAGCTTTGGCACACCACGTGGATAGTGCTACCATTAAATCGTCACTTTAAGAAACTTCAAAAAAATATGTTAAATCTAAATGGATTCTTTTATTTTATACTTTTTCTTTCGACGAAGGTTTACACTTGAATGTAATGACAATTATAACTCTTTGATACATATTGTGATACTCTATCTATAATGTGACCTATGAACCGCGATGGCGACCAGTTGCCGAATCGTTAGATAACTGATTATCCAATGAATGGAAAGGTTTAGTTTTTTTCTGCTTCGATTGTTGGCTACCTTGCAAATGTATATAGATCCACAATATGAATTTTTCTTCACGTATTTTGCATTAATGAATTACGATATCAAATATTTCTTTTATTTTAAATATATTAAATATATTAAAATAAAATTAAAATTTGTTGAAAATAATTTGATGATAATAACAACATGTAATTTTTATTGACAAAGTAGCACTTTATTCATATGAAAAAGTAATACAACATTAGGGCCTGTGCTCGATTTCTTGTATTCCTTATTTTTTTTATAATTATTTTCAAAAGCGTATGTAACGAGAAAACTAGAGAAGGCCTTTTTTTCATTTGGACATCTTACGCATTCTATGTAACAGGTAGATCAAAATTACAAATTGTGGAAATCTCGGCATTAAAAGCCTGTCATTGTGTACTACAAGGATAGTAATGTCTCTCTGTTTACAAATTTGCATCTATATAACTATAATTTAAATGATTTTTTTTTCTATTCCATGAATTAAAGTGATGTAAAATATATTGTTAAAATCATTTTTTTCTTTTTGTATGATATTGTATATGTCCTTAAAATATATTTATAGATCTTTGTAATCACGAACTATCATTTATATGTATCTTAACATTCTTCATTAACACTAAGCACCCAAATGTCACTTGACATATTGCAAGTTTGATCAAATGTAGTTGAAGCTTAGCCTGAGCCTAGTGCTACCTGAGGCTATTACTTAGTACTTAGTATTAAGTCTTAAATCTTTAAAAAAAAAAAAAAAAAAAAAAAAAAAAAGAAACTATACCTAAACTCTTTATGTTCTTTATTTCTCTTTGCTTCCTCATATTTCTTTTTTATATCAAATTATTTCGAATAAATGTTCATAATTGTCGAGAAAGACTATTATGAACATTTTATAAATGTTTTATTATAGAGCACTGCTAACTTTCGACAAAAAAAGAACAAGAAAAAAAGAGAAACGTTACTTTCCTAAGGTAAAACTTAGGATCCAACTTCAATAAAGATAACACATAAGTATAAGTCGTTATTATTATATCTCTTTCTCAAAACCCATAGGATAGAAAATATAATCAAAATTATTACGAGTATATCAAATTTTTATCCAATGAAAAATTGAAAATTTGTTTGTCCCGTAATAATGATGCACATTAAGTGCTTTGTATCTGGTATGATAATATTGATCTATGTAAATGCGTGTTTTCTGTGTTGCATGTGGTTTTTTCTAAATATATGAAGGTAAATAAAAAAAATGTTTCGTCAACATCCTTAATCTTTTACCAAAGCTCTCCATCTTTTTCTTTAGCTGGCACTTCTATTACTCGTGGTTTATCAATTATTCTGGCTGTACGATTTCCTTTTTCCACAATACCAATAATCCATGCTTGATATCCTTCTTGTTTTTCGATATCCTTACAATATGCAGCAGCCTGAAATTATTTATATAAATCATAATCAAAATTTGACTGATAACGATTAATTTATTAAAACATAATTAAAAAAAAAAAATGTAAGAGAATCGACGGCACTAAAACGCTATAATAGCAAATCAGTATGGAAATCTCTGTTATTCTTCCTGCCATTCTTTAGAATATATAATGGTGAATAATATATTCTACTGTATTAGCAGGATTTGATCAAAAAACAAAAGATTAATTACAAACCTGTTCCCTAGGCAGACAAATGAGCAATCCACCACTGGTTTCCGCCGAATGACCTTGCAAAAGTTGAAACATATTACCGCACGCTTTTGCTACAGCTGCCATTTTAGCAATAACAGGTAAATTATGAATAACAAAGGAAACTTCATTCTTTTGATGTTTAGCCAGATTTTGTGCGTGTCCTAAAAGGCCAAAGCCTGTTACATCTGTTGCTCCATGTGCATTATATTTATGCATTAATCTCGCCGCTATGGAATTAAAAAATAAATCATTATTTTATTTTTTATCTTTCGATTTTTATAATATATAATATAATTTAATAACACAATAATATATACCTATTCTGTTAAGCCTAGCCATGCTATCCATTGCTCTTTGATAAGCTTTCCTTACATCATCTTCACTGACTACAAGTTTGATTCTATTCCAACGATCTGGTTGATCTAACCATTGATGAGCATTCACAGCAACTTGAGTTCCAAGTGGTTTTGTGAGAACAAGAACATCACCTACTACTGCATTATCTGGACTATAAATAATTATTATTAACAGAGAAATAATACAATTATATATATCATTTATTCTAAGATACATACACAATATATTCATTTGGTTGACAAACAGTAGAAGCCACTCCACCTATTGTACACCAAGGATTAACAACTGTCTGACCACCTGTTACTGTTGTGCCAGCTTCCAGAGCAGAATCCTTGAATCCTCTCATAATTAAAGGAACAACAACATCTCGTTCCTTTTCAGTCATTTTTGTACTGACTCCCAATAGCATCAGCATATTATCACATTCAGTAACACCCATAGCATATAGATCACTGATAACATTTGCACATGCAATTTTACCTGTAAAAGTACTCCAATAACAGTGGTCAAACAAAATGTTATAAAATAAACAAATTTTATTCATAATAAAAAAAAAAAAGAATTTTAATATTTAAATTTATGAATGTAAATGCATATAAAATAAGAAATACAATTGATAAAATTATATGTTATTATTGAAATATTATTCTTACCCATCATATAAGGATCATCAACTAATGGATAAAAGAAATCTGTTGTTTGTACCAAACTAAGCCCTCCATGTCTCAGTGGAGTCACGGAGGAATCCATACCAATGCCTAAAATAAAAAATATAAATTGTTTAATGTTATATATTCAATTAAAAAATATATATATATTATAAATGTATATATTTTTTATATATTATATATTTATATGATATTTTTCTCCAATATTTTAACATTTGTAAAAAATTTATTCAAATTTTTTGTGAAAAATTTATTTAAATATTGATATTTAATAATTGTAATATTATTTTTTTGTAGATATATAATTATTCGGATGAAAGTTGAGAACATTTGTATTTCCGGTGGCGTGGGAGAAAACAGGCGGGAGACGATAACATGGCTGCTGACATGATAGGGCTGCCTATTGCAATATTTGTGCCCTATGTTTTCTAATAAAAATGCTCGTTTACAGTCAAAATTCTCATAATAAATACAAATATCTTATAATTATACTATATACATAATGAATAATATTTAATTATTATTATTATTAAGTAACACAAGATATGGAAAATTTTAGCCGGGAAAAATTTCCATAACTACACTGTTACAATTTGTCATAATATAGTTTTTCTTTTGAATAAAAATAAACGACAAATAATTTAAAAAATAATTTTATAATAGAAATAAGAATATTCAATCATTTATATTTGCGCAACTTGTAACAATCACAAATATGTAAAAACCGCGAAGCTAAGACGCGGCATAAAATCAAACATGTCGGCACAGAATGGCGTACACGCGCGCAATAAAAGCAATCTACTCACCGATGCGTGGAATGGCCATGTGCATAAAATGGGCATGTTCATGATCTTGTGCGCTACCGTCGTCGGCCTGTAGTCCCTCGAGGAGTTTCCCAAGAACCTCCTGAGGGACTTTACACCCTCATCCTTTTAGGTCGGCGAACCGCGTAAGGCGGAAGGTCGCATCGAGATCATGTGCCACAGGATCAAATGGCCTACGCAAAGCCAAGGCATTCGGATTTCCACCGAGCTCTAACTGAGCTACGGACAGGGCGTCTTGAGCAACCGGGGTTCCCTGTAGTTCCGCCATCTTGTTAAAACTAAACTACCGACGAACCGGGTACGCGACGTGTTTCGCGGCCCTGTACAACGACTCTCTTCCAACGGCTTCTCTGATTCTTGCGCGATATCTACAAGTAGGTTCTCACACTTGCCAGCTGCGCTCTCTGTGCTCACGTTACGTAGACACAAATCTACGAACGCCGCCGACAGACAGCCACTGGTCTTCGTAACCCTTACTACTCGTAACACGAACTCGTCGCAAACGAGAATTATACTTTGCACCGGCGTCGACTAACCGGGATCGTACTTGCTAACAAAATGGACGCGCCTCCAGCATTCACGGAATCGGAAGAACGCGCAAGGCCACCAAGAGCCCCCCCAATGTCCCTACCATGGCATTGCTGCATTTTGATTGGCTTTTTCGAATTCACGTCTGCGCACTTCTCACTTAGTTTCCAGGTACGTCCTTATAATGACATTTCACCCGTGTTTATTCACATGCCGAATTTTATCGTGTTACGAACTGATGCGACAAGTGTGCCTTCGTGACGTGTATATACTTTGCTCTTGATAAGTTCAAATCACAAGTGGAAAATTTGTTTCTAAGCGCGTTGAGATTATAATATAGAGTAATTGAGAAAAGAATTTAGATTAATAAGTACTAATTTTTATATCTATATAATGATTAGCAAATGTTTTTTATAAAAAATTTAAAATTTTATTGTTATATCAGTCAAAAAATCTTTAAAACGTTATATTTATTTTTTATTTGATACTTGGATATTTTTGAATATGTTATTTTTCTATTATAATTGATCTTGAATTTATTATTTAAAGTAAAACTTTTTAGATTAAAATTTATAATAATAAAAATTTAGATATACGCCAATGAAAGTACAATCTGTTTTAAAATTCTTTCATATTCAATTGAAACAATGGCGGGATTTTAAAAAAATAAAATTATATAATAATATTCAAAAAAATTTTTTGTATGTACTTTTATCATAAAAATTAACATATACCAATATATATATATACATCATCACTTTTTATTTTGATAAAAAATTATAAATACATTTTTACATGTTTAAAAATAGTTAAAAAATATAATAAATTAGAATATTCACTATTCAACAAATGAAAATTCCAGCTTACATTAATCTATTTTCTTAAGTTGCTAATTTTTTCATAGAATCTCTTGCAAAATAGGATTTGTTGAAAGCAAATTTATTTGTACGGATCGGATGCATTTATTCATATATTGTATATATAATATATCCAAATATATTCCTATTGAATTCGGTTGTTTTCGTATATTATCCGGAAATAACCGAATCTTTTGGCGCAATACGTATGTTCAATTTTCATTAATTTCTTCCGTTGACTCGAAGATGCCGCGTTGTTTCATCTCACCAATCAGCATTATTCAGTGGTTCTCAACTCTATTGATACAATGTTTGATCAATTAATTTTTTGTTTATTTTTATTCAAAATCTTTTGCAAACTTACGAAATAACAAAAATAAATTATGGAAATGGGAATATATTTCGCTATATATATTTTTTTGATAATCTATTATTATTATAATTCATAAATTATTTTTAAATATAACATTTTTCTCAAATTTTAATACATTTTATTTTGTTAAACATGCTTTAATCATTCTATATTATTACAATATTCTAAATTTATTTGTATTATTACAAACTTTTTATTTATAAAAATTTTAACTTAAAATTCATCTGTTCTTTCATCTTGTTGATTTTTTACAATTGAACAAGAAATATCATTTTCGACTGACATTGCCGATTCTTTTTCGTTTAATATTTTATCTATCAAACCCAATACAGATATTTTAAAGCTTCTTTTTTCTTGGCTTGTCATCTGCTGCATATCTGGAAGTAAACTTTTAAAGAATAACAAGTCTGCATCATTGATTGATTCGTCAAGATCTCGTCTATTGGTGAGAATACAATTATCTGAGCATCTATGTGACAATAGTCTATCTTCTGTATGTCTGATTGCTTTACTTCTCGAAAATATATACTCTTCGTTTCTCGTATCTCCATCTCTTTCTGATTCCGATATCTTTTGATCGGATTTATTTAATTTCTGATAATTAGAGGACGTATCGGAAGTGGTCTCCTCTTCATTCCAATTCTCTTGTGCAATTGGTCCTT